TCCACTGAAGATCTAGTTTGGCATGTGCTGAAAAATAATACAAGGAAAGGAGATGAAAGTGTAATTCAATTCTATAAAAAGAATTTTCTTGTGCAATATTGGGTAAAAATCTTAATGAGTTAGCTGGCTGTCATAAATTATCTTTGGAAAAAGATATTAAGGAAAAGAGAAAAAATGAAAAGAGGGAAGAGGGAGTGATGAGGGAGGGAGAGAGGGCTAGAAGGAAAGAAGAGGAGAGGGGAGCAGGGAAAGAAGGAAGAAAGGATGTCTGCTGAGATTTAGGCAGCAAGACTTAGGAAAAAATGAAAACATTCCCAAAAATCTTTTCTGAGAGTTTTTCCCCCTTAAAAGCATTATTAGGGCTATAAAATACCCAAGGCAAACCTCTTTCATATTGGACATAAAACACTATCACAAATAAGACTGGCCAGAGGCCACTTAGAAATTCAATAATTATTCAACTCAAGGGACTTTCCAAATGGTAAAGTAGCTTCTTAAGGGGAAATAAATATTGAACAGTATCAAATCTAATTGGAGTCTTGAGAAAACAGAGTCTTGAGTAGGTAGCACAGCTGGAGGATAAAGAAGGTCAGGATGAATGGCGCTTTCACTTTTGTCTATTGCCTTATCATGTGAAAAAGAAAATCTTGTTTATATTTTTATGCCAGTAGGGAAAGGGGTGGTTTGGAGAAATCCCCAGTTCATCAAAAGCTGTCTTCAATCTGAGAGTGGAAAAGTTTATTTCCTTTATTTCTGTCTCTCAAGCATTCAAGATGAGTTGAGAAGATACAAGAGATCTCTCTGCTTTTGCCATCAAAATGGTTGGGAATTAGTGACTGATTCGGCTTCTGGTAATGGTAGTGAGCACTGATCACAAAAGTAGTAAGACTGTGTGTATCAGACTGAGAAAGTCTATTGCAGACCCTCATTATTTTCCTGTTTGGAAGATAAAGGGAATTATGTCAAGTGGCACATTAGGCACATCCATGTTACATTAGCCTCTTCTATTATAATGGTGACATCCCAAATCCACTTAGCACACAGCAGTTTGATTTTCCCATTTGTGAAACGTGCTAAAGGTTCACTCTAGAACCGAACCTGGGGGTCTAGGCTACGGTGTCTTTAGATGTAACTATCTGAGATTATGTTTCTGCTGGCAACTGACTGTCCTTGGATCCTATCTAAGCCAACCTGTTTAGTGGTGAATGAATTATTCATAATTTGGAGAACTGAGTCAGATCACCAGTGTACCACACCTGGATTGTGTTAAGCCAGAGAAAAAGCATCAGACTCATGTCTTGAGGAGGCACTCATTAAAGATTCATATTGAACACGCACACAGAGTCTATTTAGTTGGGAGATATGAAGGTCACTGTGATCAATAAAAACATATCCTGCAATCAGAAGCAATAAGTATAGTCTCTTTATAGTAAAAATATTTAAAAGTAACTTAAAGGTCATTCACTCTACACCCATAGAATGAAGGATAGAAAAATGTCTATAATGGTTTGAAACTGCACCATTTTGAGCAGCTGTCACTGATGTGGCTTTGAACAGTGTCATAGTTCATCCTGGCTACCCATTCTGAACTCTTTATGCCTCAGTTCCACTTCTGCAAAATGTGATTAATGTAATGTGGATTTTAGAGGAGATTACTATAATGTCATTATTGTTAAAATAGTAGAGATTGTACTAGCAGAAAACAAGGCATAAGACAGTACATGCTTCTTGTCATGGTTATAATTGCCATTAATTACTTCAGTGTTTAGAAGGAGCCATGCATATTTCATTTCCAGGACCCAGAGTTCATTACCATAAATTCTGTTGTCACAGTTGTTCACATAAAACACTGAGACAATCTCTTGAGCCCTGTGATTAGTCAGGGTCTTGAAAACAAAATCAAAGCAGGTCAAAGGAAGTGTGTCTGGCCATAGAACACGACTCTCCTTGCTTGAGATGAAAGGATGGGCTTTGAGAATGCCAGCTGTTTGTTGGTCATCTGCATGTAATAGTTATAATTTAGCACCCGAAAGCACAGTGACACTAACCAGATTCAATTAAAATGAGTAAGATCACCCTCTCACCAAATATGAATCCTGAGCAGCACTGCTGTTCAGAGCAGTACAGTCAGGGGTCCATGCTTGTCAGCGGCTGGGCAAACACACTTCATCAACTGTACTCCTTGTGTTATTGGATATTACGATGTTACTATGATGGCACCTTTCCAATGCTGTTTTTCTCTTTTGTTCTCTGAGGGGATGCTGTAAGAAAGTGGTTTGGTAACAGAATCTTTGGGGATTTTTCTCACAGTGTCATTTCCCTTTAGAGGAAATGTATAAAGTGTGCATTGGAAATTAATTTACATTGACTTGGTGGGAGAATTGGATGTTATTCATTCTATACCAAACCCCTTGGAAATATTCTCTTCTTGTTCCCAATTCTAGAAGATGCCATCCCAGTGGAGACAATGAAGCTTTTGGATTCAATGTGACTGTTCCACATGCTGGGCTCTCTCACTCTCATGAAGGTGGGGCTACATGTGGTGGACTGGGAACTAAATGTTGGAAAGAACAATAAATGGTATTCCTTGAACACTTACCAGTGACAGGAATGGTGCTAAACCAGTTAGGTACATTTCTTCATCAAATATACAACTACTTCTATTCTTTTTGCTTTGTTTTGTTTGAGACAAGATCTCACTATGTAGTTCAGGCTCGTCTTGCACTTATTATGTAGCTCAGGCTGGCCTCAAACTCACAGCAATCCTGCTGCCTCAGCACCCTGAGTGCTGGGACCACAGGTGTGCGCCACCGTGCCCAGCTAATTTCCTATATTCTTATCTCCATTTTATAATAGATGCATCACTGAGGTGCAGAGAAGTAGGACTCAGGTATTATGGGTCTCTCTGACTGTGAAGGGCATTCCCTTAGTCGCCTGCCATTTGTCTGTCTGGAATCTTTCAGGTGAGCCTGGCTCCTGTTTTCCCAGGGCAACCCTACAGTCCGGATTCGTGAATGCCCATCCACATTCCTCAGATTTGCTCTCTCCAAACCTGGAGAAGATTCTCTGATGCAGCCTAAAAGCTGACTTCATCTCAGACAATTGTTCCCTTTGTGGCCTGTTCCACATATATATCAAAATACACAGAATACTTAGAAGACCAGAATCAGTGTTCAGTCTTATAGTTGTGCAAGTCACTTAGCTGTTCCAGCCAGTCCCTTCTTCTGTGAAATGGAAATGCTTGTCCAAAGGTCAGGAACAGGCTAGTTGCTCTCATGGCTCACTTCTGCTCTTTTGTAACTTTATGAATCTAAGTTATATATACTCTGGACCCAGAATTATGGGTGGGGTCAACAGTCACTGAAAATATTTTACCCAAGCAAGAAGTGTATTTTTCTCTTTTATTTGCTGCTGTTTGAGTTATAGATGCAGATATTCCTTTGGCAGTTACTCCAGGTAATTTTTCTCCATTAATAACTGCTAACAAAAATCATTAAATGTCTTTGATCTTTAGCCTAGCATTTGGGATCCCAGCCCTTGTTATCTAACTATATGCCTAGTCCTCATACCAACTAGATTAATTTTGGTTTCTTGAACACATCTCACATTTTTTATACCTTCCTGTAGTTCTACTCCTGTGGTTTAGAGTCTATGTCTGAAATGATTTTCCTACTTAACTCCAACAATGTCCACCACTTTCAAGGTCAGTTCAAATGTCCCATCATCCCGAACCTCCACCAGATTGTTTTAGTTGAGGTTTCATCTTTTCCTAACCCTATGCTCCACAGAAGTTTATTGTGCCTTTAAAGAATTCCTACCCTTCTCACAGCCTTCTTTGTACTATTGCTGCTTGTAGTTCTCTCAAAACTCTTACTAGACTGTAAGAATCTTGAGGCAAGATCCAGGGTTACAAGCCACTTTGGTTCCTGGTGCATTCTTTGTGTCTTTATGTGACAGGGAAAATGTTCTTTTGCCCTTGCCTCCCCTTTCCTTCTTTTCTTCCTTTGCCTTTTACTCCCCTTCTTCCATCTTCTCTGCCTCCTGTTTCTCTTCCTTTTCTTCTTAGTCATCATCTTCATTCTCTCTCTCTCTCTCTCTCTCTCTCTCTTTCTCTGTCTTTTTGCCATCAATATCATAATGAAGACCTTATCAGTCCACATGACCTCATCAGCCCAAATTGTCTTCCAAAAGCCTTGTCTCCAAATGCCATCACCCTGGGGGCTAAAGCTTCAACATGTGCATTTTGAGGCCACACAGTTCAGTCCATATAAACACCTATACATTTATCAATCTAACCTAAAGATACAGCAATAAAGTCCATGTCGAAAATCCCTGTTTCATGAAGTTTACATTGTAGTAGAAAAAAGTGTGTATAGATAGAATAATGGCCCCCAAAGATCATGAAACTTATCCTCATAACCTGTGAATGTACTACATTACCTGGGAAAGGGGAACTGGTTGCAGATGGAATTAAGTTTGCCAGTCAGCTGACATTAATGTAGATAAATCTGGACGGGCAAAAATGTAATCAGTAGGGTCTGTATAAGTAGAAGAGGAAGGCAGAAAGGTCAGACTGATGCAATAAAAGGATCTGATCTTTCATCACTGGCTTTGCAAAGGAGAAAAAGGACTACAAGGCAAGGAATGCAGGTGGCATTGAGAAGCTGGTAAAAACCAGAAAATGAATTTTTTCCTATAGAATTCAAAAGGGAATGCAGCCCTGCTACAGTCTTTATTTTAGCCCAACAAAAACTGTACTGTACATCTAACCTCCAGTATTATAGTAAATTTGTATCGTTTAAAGCCATTAAGTTAATAGTATTTTGTTCTTCAGTCAGAAAAACTAATATGGCCAGTAACTAAGTAGTAAGAATGTATTTGGAGCAAGGAATGTGGATAGGTGGTCGGAGAGGATTGTTATGCTGTTTGTTTGTTTGTTTGTTTGTTTTTGAGACAGGGTCTCACAATGTAATCCAGGTGGCCTTGAACTCACTGTGTAGCCCAGTCTGGCCTCAAACTCACAGAGATTCTCCTGCCTTAGCTTCCTGAGTGCTGGAATGACAGGGTTGTGCTTTTAAATAGGGCTGAAAAGGGAGGCCTCTGATGTTTGAGAAAAGAGCTGAAGAAAGTGAGGTGGTGTCTTAGCCATGAAGAAGTTGAGCAATCAGGAAGTCATGCAGACGGAGAGCACAGCAAGTATTAAGGCCCTGTGGTAGGAGCTTCTTTGTCATTTTTGGCAGCCAAGGAGGGAATCATGAATAGAAGCATTTGAGAAGGCTGGTAGGTGGTGAGGTATGGAAAGTACATATCCCTAAATTCTACTGAATATATTTCCAAACCATGAAATATGCAGTAAGAATTATAAAATCCATAGTCATTTGGTACTTCTCAATCATGCACCAAGACGCCATCATAAGGAAAGATGTGCAAGATCCAATTCTTATCTCAGGAAGGCAGGGAGCTCACATTTGAAGACTTCTGTCATGAACTAAGAACGCTTTCTATATTTAATTTACCCATCAGAACTGTCCTGTGGGTTGATAATTGCTCCCCTGGTTTACACAGGAGGACACTGAGGCCTCAAGGTTCAAGGTACGCCAAGATCGCTCAATGTGAAAGCGGCATGCTGCGATTCTGCTTCAGAGATCATGGTGAGCCTATCACTCTCTGCTTCTTTTAGGAATTTAAAGTATTCCCCAATGATTAATGCTCTGTTCTGTGTCAGTCCACGGTATTTTTTTAGCGACCTGGAGATTGTGGAGAAGGTAAGCCATTTGTCTTTCTCTGGAGGCCTTCGAAGTGGCTGCTCTAGACCCAAATGCATAGTTCTCACGCAGCGTGTTTCCTGACGCCCTGGCCCGAGGGTAAGCATCTTTTCTGCAAGCTTGAGAGCCCCCTTAGATTGCACACATCCCAAGTCTCTCCTGGAGAGAAGGTGATCCTAAAGACAGTCAAGACTTCTCTCCCTCTTGTAGTTGTTTTTGCGCTAGCGGCCGCCAGGCGGCCCCTCTCCGCACCCTCGCACGATCCATAGCCCGGCCGGCTGCGCAGCGCTGTGCTGCGTGCCGGGTGCGTGTGGGGGCTGCTTTGCCACGGCTGAGGCTGTGGCTGGAAGCCCCTCTGCGCTGGCCAGAAAGAAAGGCCCGCACGTGGATCTGCAAGCGCTGCCCTCCCTGCTGGAGTTTACGCCTCTTCTCTCTAGCCGGCTGCCGCTGACCTGGCGAAGAGAGCCGACCGGGCCCGGGGCTGAAGGTAAAACCCCAAGCGAGGGGAGGCGGCGCGAACGCGCAGTCCCTCGTTCAAGATTGCGTCCCGGCCCGCCCAGGTGCGGGTGCAACCGGAGGGGGGCGGGAGGTGGTGGACCCCGCTCCTCACCAGTCACCCGCGGGCTTCCGGGGTTGGAGTCCGCTTTGCCTCGGGTCTGCGCGTTGGCTTCTGGCCGGCTCCCGGTGCGCACTTCCCGGGCAGGAACGGGGGGTCCACTTCCTTCCCACCAGGAATCTGTGGCCTTGATTTTAAAAGATATACCAATGAACTCCTCCTTTCGGGGTACGCGTCTGTTCGCGAAGTTACCCGGAATCTTAGGTGCCTGCAGGGTGCACGCTGGGCTCTGGGCGGCGGGAAGACAAACTTTTACAAAAGTGCGTCTGGGCGGGGGACACCGCGTGGGCGTCCAGATCGCGAACGAGGACTGCGTAGGGGACTCCGCGCCGTCCGCAGGCCACCTCCGGGGCTGCTGGGGCTTCGTGGAGGGAGGGAAGACGGGAGGAATAAAGGTCGTATGAATCCGGCTGAACTCGGGCCGAGAACTGTCAAACATCTGGACTGCCAGAAGCTTCGTTTCCCTGCACTGGAGGTGAAATCGCAACTTTGTTTTGCCCCCTCTTTGGATCCCTACAGAGGCGGGCGCAGAGAACCGATCTCCAGCGCCTGGAAAGTACCAGAGTCCCTAAACCACTGTGCATTCCTTCCTATTCCCCTTTCTGAGCCCTTTCAATAATCCTTTCCCTCAGGGACCGCGCGACCGAACCGACTAAAATCGGGGCGAGGGGCCTTTTGTTTCTCCGCGTTTTCCCCTATTGTCTGCTTTTTCAACATCTAGTCGTGCTCGGGGAGAGAAGGAAGCCCCGCTCCGTACCAGCCCCGCCTTCCCCGCCCGCTGCTGGCCGATGCGGGTCGGGGATTCGGGCTGGGTAAGTGGAGGAGCCCGACCGCGGCGAGGCCGCCCCACCCTGGCCTTGTGGTTAGAGGGCGGGGGAAAGTTGTTCCTTCCCCGCCTCCTCGGCTGCCTGTGGCCCAAGGCGCATTTCTCAGATCTTATCCCAGGCGCAGAAGGCGCAAATCTGAGGAGGTTGCTGCTTTCCGAGCGTTGGAAGCCTGGTCCCGCCTTATGTCTGGTGTTGTTCTAGAGAATTTTCAGTCGCTTGCTAAAGGCATTGTGGCCGGGCCGCAGCCTACGCGGTGGGAGAAGGTCAGGGCGTCTCTGGCAGACGAAAGCCAAGGTCTGGGTTTGCAAGTTCCCAAAGGCTAGAAGGCAGGCAATTTTCCAAAGAAAGAGTGGAGGTGCGGGTAACTAGAAAGCCTCAGATCTGCCTGGGCGTGGGGGTGCAGTGGCTCACTCTGGAATACAGTCTGTCGAGTTCTGACTAATGGTAGGGCTCCACGTTTAAATTCTAAGTCCCCTCTCAGTATTGTACAAAAAGCAGACCATGGACACGTGGCACATGGGGAACAAAACTGTTAGTTTCCAGGTGGGAACAGGTGGCTGGGAGCAGGTGGCCTGGGATGCCCTGAGTTCCCCTTTGGGCCCACCTCAAGGTTACAGGTGGCCCTGTTTCCCTATACGGTTTAGACACTAACAGATCACGCTGATTCTTAGTAAGTGTGGATTATTAAAGAATTAGAGCAAAAGCAAAGCATCCACCTGAGAAGACGGCCCCCAGATGGGTTCCAGATTGGAACCTGTGTCTCTTCATAGCCTTGCACTTGACTCATGTGACTAGGTTTTTCTGTAGGTGACCAAATCAGTCGCTCTTCCAAAGAAGAGTCAGTTACACTCCTTTTGTCCTCCCACCTTGGATCTCTCAGGAGCTCAGGGAAGGAGGCTTATGTGGCAACATTTGTAAACATGTACAATGCAAACTTTTTTTTGTTCTGAGAATGGAACCCAAGCCCCCCGCCCCCCAATGCTGGTCAAGTGCTTTACCACTGAACTACACTCTCAAACTTTTTAAAGTTGAAACTGCTAGGCTCTGTCCAGTACTGGTTTCCTTTGTACTGATTTAAGAGAATTTTTGCACTTCTATTTAACGAAAGAACAAGACTGCTAAGTCAGGAATGTGAACACACTGACAACTTTCTCCAGTGATTTCTAGTTGTTTTTACCAGTAGGACCATCCAAACAAAAGCAAAATCTTTGAATTGCCAGGAGGTACTTTCACAAACATTTCATTATAAAAATGATTCAGGGTAGGATTCCTTTGAAATTTAGCAACAACAGCAAAGCAAGCAAAAGAATATGCTGAAGCAGACCTGATTTGGGCTCTGTTTGTGAACCTAAAACAGCATTATGAACAAAGTGACATGATGGTGCTTATCCCCATCAATCCCAGTAAGGGAACAGATAAATTTGTATAGCATCTTTAATTTTAGAATTACAAGTTATTGAAGGAAAAATAGAGAGGTGAAAACTAAAAAGAGAAAGAAAAGGCAGTATTATAAACAAGGCTGCACTGAATGATCTTATCCAAAATTTACAGAATAAATTTCTAAGCTATGATAGGAGTTGATGCACTTACTAGGACTTTTAAGATTGCCATACTGCCCTGCAGTAATATGTAGCAGTTTATCTTTTCCGAATAATACACAAGATACTGTTTCCTACTCCTTACTCATGCTCTAGATTATAACCATTGTTTTCCATCTCTGCCATGATGATGGGAGGGGGATATCTTAGTGTTGCCTTATTTTGCATTTCTAATAAGAATGAGATTAAATATCTTTTATATCATTAACATTTCTTCCTTTATGTTGTTATTTTGTGTCCTTATTTATTTCTCAGTTATGTGGTTCTTTTTCTTTTGATTAGATTTGCCCTTCTTAAAGCATACTGTCCTGATGTCTGCCTCTGCTGGAACAATCAATTTGTATTGACTGGAAAATTTTCTCTCTCTCTCTCTCCCTCTCTCTCTCTCTCTCTCTCTCTCTCTCTCTCTTCTGTCTCTCCCCCACCTCTCCCTCCCTCTCTTTCATGCTAAGTTACATCCCTAGCCCCTCTTGGCCCATTATTTCTTCATGCGTAAGAAACCCTTGGCAAGACTGCAGCCATAAATTACTAAAGGGACTGCCATCATCCCAGTACAGTTATTGGAGAGACCAGGCAAAGTCATCATTGGAAAAAGCCATGAACAATACCAAGCACATATTTTCTGTATAGTAGCTTGCATGCCCAGCTCTGTAACTTATGGAACAACTCTAAATGCTGGAGACTCCAGATTCTCTGTTTCCAAAATCTTGAACAACAATTGATGAGTTGCTTTTACTAAATACATTATACTGCTGTATCTCATTTATTGACGGAAACTTCTGCTGGTAACCCAGATGCCAGGAACCTCAATTTTTAAACATTTCTTCTAACATTTTGATTGAAAGTTGCTTCTCTTTTATCATAAGACTCTCTTTGGTAAATTTTTTGAGCCCTGCACTTGAAACAATCTTGAATCTGGACAGTTTAGCAGTGGTATTAGCAGGAGAGGTTCCCCAAAGGCTGAACCAGGTACAGTTCATCCTCTTTTATGCATTTGTGTTGTCCTGGTCACTAGGTTAATTCTTGATTGAAAGCAAGTGATCCTGAAATAGAATAGAGAAAAATTCACTTAGCTAAGAAGTGAATTAAGACAGATCAAGAGCCATACAAGGAAAGTTAAGTAAGGTAGGCTGTGGGGGTACACATCTGTAATCCCAGTACTCTGGGAGGCTGAGGCAGGAAGATGGCAAGTTCATGCTCAATCTAGGCAACTAAACAATTTAGTAAGACCATGACTCAAAATTTTTTAAAAAGGAGGGGGATGGGCTGGAGATATAGCTCACTGTGAATGCCCTGGATTCAGTCTCCAGCATTACAAAAAAGTACAACAAATAAATAGATAAATAAACAAATAAATGTTAAGTGAAAAAAAAATATATAGTATCACATATTGTTAGAATGGTTAGTTTACTCAACTGATGCAAAGTAGTTTTCTAACTGGGAAAATCCAATGTAAAATTCTTCTATAATGTGAAAACAGGCACTCATTTTGGGGGGTGGGTGCAGAGACACAGACACAGACACAGACGGACAGATTGATACTTTCTCTCACATTTTCCATGCCTTCAAGTGTAGGAATCAAACAGTATACACCAGGCATAGTAAGTGCTCTGCATTAGAATTATAGGCTCCCAAGAGTTAAATGGGAGCTTAATGACCATCTAATTCAAACATCCATGCAGATTTCACTACTGGTCTTCACTTTTGAGGGGCGCTAGGGAGCACTGAGCTACATCCAGAGCCCAGCAGGGTCTCCCTAAGTTAAATTTTGATCCTTCTGCCTCAGTCTCCAGGCAGCTCCATGGAGGCTGCATCTCCATGCCTGGCTGGATCTTCATTCTTGACATATGACACCATTCTTGAAACTGCATTGTTTCAAACAAAACAAGCTGACAAGCAAATGGGTCAGAATGGCAATCTTTTTTTCTCTGGGCAGGAGGAAGGGAAAGGAAGGATTCTGACTCTGTGGAGCTTATATAATAAGCTCTTTGAATGTGCTGAAATTTTATAGAATAAAGAACATTGGAGGCCAAAAGAGTAAGTCTTGAAATGTTACATTTTGCAACATTCTCTGGTCCCTATCTTCTAGCTATTGTCTAGCCATTGTTCTGGTGACCTTCAAAGGTAGAGCAAAGCCAATAGAAAATGGCCAAAAGAAGGAGGAAGAGAGAGTAGATGGTGGAGAGTAAATCTTATTCCTTTGAACCTGTCTTTAAGTCTTTCTAACAAAAGTCACGGAGTCACCCAGGCATTGGTGAAGTTGCAAGCTTTAGAGACAGTGAGTATTTCCTAAGTCACCTATCAGCCTTGAGATGAGGTTAGGACTGATTCCAGGATAACACAGTCATCCTTACAGAAGAAGATGAAGGAGGGAGGGGAAGAGATTTGGGGAGGGAAATTGAATTTTAATTCTAAAAGTATACCTTATTTCCTCCGAGGAGTTTTGTGAATTCCAGAAAGTAGACAAAACATCTTTTGATTTCCGCTTGCACAATCTTCCAGGCACAGTAACTATATTTCTTATCCTTTAGGTAATTTTCTATTCTTTTGAAATATCCTCTCAATGCTAATTTGCTCTTTTGGATGACCTGAACTTCCAAGTGTTGCACTTCATGTGTTTTCATTTCCTGCGTATCTTTGTCTTCTTTTTTGTCTTCCTTCAGGCACTGTTTCAGGTATTCCCTTTGCTCAGCAAGTTCACTTTTGATTTGTGTCAGGTATTCCTCTTTCCCAGCAAAGTTGGAGGTGTGTCGGCTGAAGATATGTAAGGCCTGTATGGTAATATCATAGAAGACTTCCTTGATGTCTCTTTCCACAGGCTGAGAGTACGAGACGATATTTTGGGGCAATCCAAAAGCTTTGATGTCTCTTAGACATCTCAGAGGAAATGGATTGCTCATACTGCTCAGAAGTCTCACATTCTCCTTGGTGACTGTACTTACGTGCACATTCAGTAAGGTACAGTCCTGAGATTGAATGTGCCGAATGAACAGACCCACAAAGCACACAAGCCTTGAATATTTTGGAATCATGTCAGCCTTGGTTCTCACTTTTTTTGTATATGCAAAAAAAGAAAAAATTAACACTACCCAAGGTTGACAGTGATGTTTTATATCCTCTTTCATGTGACTTTATATACCTGAACATCTTTAGTGGGAGGAGTTTTCTCGTTCCTTTTTTTTTTTTTTTTACAGTTCTCATGGTTACAGCTCCTTTCCTTTGTCTCTGAGACTTTTTAAACTCTGTGATTGCCCTGACTTTGGATATGCTATCTTATTTTGTTTTGTTCTTAAGTGCACAAAGCATTACTATTGCATTACCTTGGGGACCTAGATGACCATTCCAGTGCTGAAGAATTGTGTAGCACAATTAATGCCGAGGGCTAGGAATATAGTGCAGTATCAATGAGGGAAAAATCACCCAACTCTCTCTACTACATAAAAGAACAGTCCTCTATATTTTTTGTACCTGATCCTATAGGCAAACTTCCTGTTTCTCTGAGTTAATTACAGACATTGCTTTTTTTCTCTTTTTTTTTGCAATACCATGGATTGAACTCAGGACCCTGTACTTGCCAGGCAGGCACAGTGGCACTGAGCTACATCCCTGGCCCTGATGTTGCAATTATTGATAGCTAGGTCACCGCAGATTAATAGAGTTTCGGTTTTTCCAATCTTGATAAATGAAGCTTTTGTATTTGGATATTTTCTCTTTAAAAAAAAATTTTTTTTTTTAGATCTCAAAAAGGATAGGCTGGATGTGGTGGTGCCACTTGCAATCTCAGCACTCAGGAGCCTGAGGCAAGAGGATAGCCACAAGTTTGAGCCAGCCTGGGCTCCACAGTGAGTTCAAGGTCAGCCTGGACAGCATAGCAAGACCTTGTCTCAAGAAAAAAAAAATGAAGAACAGAGTTGTTCAGTTTAGCATGACCCTTGTATGACAAAGTGCTAAGCTGGCTCTTGATTTCCTGTTAGCATTGGAAAAAGTTGATTTTCACAACTCTCCTTTCCTTTAGTTAAATCCATTTCTGGCTTGCATTTAATATGTTTTGAGCTCTTAGGAGCAGCTCTCCAATGGGTTGTATATTTGAAAATGTTTTTCTGTTTCATTGACTTCTCAGTTATGGTACCATACATTTTCTTTTCTTTTTGATATAGTTTAGACCATATTTTAAAAACTTATTAGTTATCTTTCTTTCTTACTTGTGATGCTAGACTCCATGAAGTCTTGTTTGCTCTGCTGTTATCAAGGAGACATAAGAGGCCACACATTTTAGCCATGCTAATTCATGCCTAGGCCAGTGTGACTGTGGAGATGGTACTATCCACCATTTATGGCTTTTACTTTGGCAAATAACTTTCTTCTAGTTATGGTCAAAGCAAATGGATTCCTTTCTTGAGGAATGTAAAATAGGATATCAGTAAATGAGACTAATTTATTTTAATATTGTTTGAAAGAAATACATTAATTTTTAATAAAGTCACTGAAAAATGTTAAGCAGCCACAGTTCCACGACAGACTGAAAATTTGGCTTAAAATTTTTTGTCTAAATCATTTGACTGCATCAAAAGGTAATCGTGGATTTCTTAAACTCTTGGCTTTTTGAGCTGGTTTCTTTTGAAAAGAAAACATACTACATATATTTCTCTATATGTTCAATCTGTATAAATTCTTTTTTAAATTAAGTTTATTGGTACATTTTAGGTACTCGGTACAGTTACATTAATCTTTGGGACTGTGTACCTTTACATGACTTATCTTGGTTCTTATTTTTTTCCCATTCCCCAGGCCTCCCTTCACCCCCTCTACCTTTCACTGTTTACAAAGACATTGTTTCCATGTTTTTCATTTTCTCATATTTTTTCTTTTCCCTTTTTACCTTACACTACCCCTCCTACTTCCTCTACTCTTTTAGACCTTTTTTTACTATTATACAATATCAATTATATGTTTTGATCCTTATTTACACTTTTAGTTTTTCACACCAGAGAAACTATTCTGTATTTACACGTGTCTTATTTATTTCACTTAAGAGTATGGCCTCAGCGTGTATCCACTGAGCTATAAATGTCTCTAGTTTCTCATTCTTTATGGCTGAGTAGTACTCCATTTTATTAAAAAAAATCTTCTTTATCCAGTCTCCAGTTGATAGGTAGTTGGGCTGTTTCCAAGATTTAGCTATTACAAACTGTGCAGCTATAAATATGGGTGAGCATATATCCCTGTGGTATGATTTAATTAATGGTGTTGGAAAAACTGGATTTCAGCTTGCCAAAGATTAAAACTAGACCCATATGGTTCACCATTCATTAAACTAAAATCCAAGTGGATAAAAGATATAAATATTAAAACAGAAACCCTCAACTTGCTGGATAATAAGTAACGTAGAATTCTTGAAGATATTGGCATAGGTAAAGACTTTATGAACAAATCCTCAGTAGCATGGGAACTTGCACAAAGAATCAACAACTGGAATCTCATCTTTTTAAAAAGCTTCTATATTGCAAGAGAACCCCTCAGCAGAGATAAGAGACAACCCACAATGGAGAAAAAAATTTTATCAGCTGCTCCTCAGACAAAGGACTATTATCTAGAATATATAAAGAATTAAAAGAAAATCAGACTCCCCCAAATATAAAGACCCAATCAAAAATGCACATCTGAAATGAACAGACATTTCTCAGACAAAGAAGTAAAAGCAGCAAATAAACATATAAAAAAATGTTCGACGTCACTGGTCATTTGAGAGATACAGATGAAAACAACACTGAGATTCCACCTCACTCCAGAAAGAATGGCTGTTATAAAAAAAATCAACCAATAACAAATGTTGGTAGGGTTGTGGGGAGAAAGAAACCCTTCTCCATTGTTGGTGCATGTGCAGACTGGTGCAACCACTGTGAAAATCAATATGGAGATACCTCAAACAACTAAGATTAGAGTTGACCCAGCTATCCCTCTGCTGGGTATCTTCCCAATATGTATGAATTCTGAGTTCACAGATTACCTGAGGTGACTGATTTTGAAAAAGAATTTAGCAAATAGGCCCTTTTATATCAGATTATAAGGTGACTAAACTTTCATAGATGGCAAAATGGTAATATAGATAAAAATCCTTAAAAAATATATATACACACACATACTATATACATATATATATATTCATATATAAAAATATATATGGATTAGCAATTTTCCCTTTGGGAATGTATTCCTTAGAAATAGTGATGGTGTCCTTAACTGTAGACTTGGATGTCAAGAAGTTCATCACAGCAAAAAGTGGTAAACAATTTAAATATTTAGCTATAAGTACAGTACTCAGTTAAGTAAGCCATCTGTACATGCATTAAAAACTATGTGTGGGAATATGTTTGGCCACCTGGTGGATATACTTTATAGATTAAAAAGAAGTTTCTTTGATAGTGTATAGAGTCTGATGCCATTTAAAAAATATGGATATGTAGATATATGTACAGAAAAAACCTTGAAGTAATATATGCTAAAAATTTTTAAAATCAGTATCTGATTAGAAAAATGAGTGATTTAGATTCTTATATTTCTGTTTACCTAGATTTTTAAAATTATCTCTGATTAGCAGTGTTTTTTATTTAATAAATAAGACTGTCTTTTAAAAGAAGATGTTATAAAAGAAAAATTATTATGTATCAAAAATGGAGCTGGGCATGGTACACACTTGTAACCCCAGAATTTGGGGAGGCTGAGGCAGGAATATTGATGTGAGTTTGAGGCAAACCAGGACTTCGTAGTGTGTTTAAGGCCAGCCTGAACTGCATAGCAAGACTCTGTCTCAAAAAACAAAAAACAAAAAACAAAAAACAAACAAAAAATAAACACCAAAAAAAGAGGAATTAATACTCTTTTCCTTTTTAAACATATCCATTCTGGAATACTTCAAAGGACACATTAATTTCCCATAAGGTTCAGTTCCAATTCAGTTGACATGAACAACATAATTGTGTGGGAGTTCAGCATACTGTTCTTGCAGCTTTCCATTAAAAAAAACCATGTTTATGTATATAGCCTCCATTTGTGATCACACACACACACTCTCAGCCTACACAGAGATCCTGTGAAATGCAAAGCACCCCTACACACAGCTTGTGTAACTTCTACCTAAAATGTCTTGAAACATTCCAGTTAGCACCACTTATTCTTCTTCTGGGCATTTACAGGGCCTTGTCTTTCTTCACTATGGATTTTTTAGTAGGTAATTACACAAGTGTTGATTTCCCAATTACCCACCTTGTACTTTAGTCGGTCCATGTTGCTTAGTGTACTTGCCCTTATTTGAATCAGTGAAGCAGTGCTAAGCAAGTGAACAGGTTGTTCATCTGCCTGGCTATAAGAAGTTTGCTCATAGGCAGCAGAGGTGGCAATAAATCGGCTGTCAACCACCTTGAACTTCCTTATATTTTCTGTTATGCACAGATTTGTCATTGTAGCCTTTTCGTCCTAAGTTTCCTCCCATTGTCATTCCATATCATACATACTCACTTATTCAACAATTAATTGAAAGGCTTTATCACATGTAAATCATGGCCCTTACTGCAGAAGGAGCAGTAAGGTGTAGTGCATGATCTCAAGGAGCTTACAACCAAAGAAGCAAGCATGTTCAAAGTGTTTGAAGAATAATCTTAAGGCTTTCCAATAGCATTGACCTCATTCTTGTCCTCGCTCCTCTTGTGTGTAAATGGTACGTGATGCTGATATTGACAATTTTCATGACAAAGAAGAAAAGATGTTTGCCTAAATATCTGCCCCTTTCTCTGCCATTAGGATTGCCTGAGTTAGAAAATAAACATGCAGAGAACTCATGGATTATTTGAGACATACCTGCAGTACAAAAAAATCATTCAGTTTTTATCCAACTTTCAAATTCAACTGGATGTCTTTCTCTGGTAACCCTATTTACCGTGTAAGCTTCTACTGATCTCTCTTAGCAAAGTTCAAAACTGACACTCCCTCTGCCTTTCCTCAGATATCTTTTCATGTCCGGCAAAGTTGCATTCAA